TTTGATAAAAATCTATTTTAATAAGAGATTTTTCACTACCACATTCTAGGTTGTCAGCTAGGTTATTCAAGGCATTAACAGTAGCAGTTAAAGCTTGGTTGGGATTGGCCATTTGGTTTGGTTGTTCTGGCTCTGGGTTATTAACTTGTTCTAGTTCTTGATTTGGTTTCTGGTTATTAATAGATACAAGCTCAGGTTCGGCTTCTGATTTAGATTCTTGGTTAACAGTAGCTTCAGATTCAGCGTCAGACTGTTGGTTATCTTTAAATAGAGGAGATAAGTCAAGATGTTTGTCTCAGTTAATTTCTTGAGGAGAAGCTTCTGTTGTTAGAAAAGCGACTAATTTTGGTGAAGGATTTACAACAGAAGTATTTAATAGAGTAGTAGATTAGATATTGATAGCTATATTTGCTTCATAATAGGTTCCAGATACGACAAAGAGTTAAACTGGACTAGGAGAATTATTATAAAAACTTATATAACTAAATATTCATTGGATTATACCAGGTTGTTGAGAGATAGAAGGAGTTGGGATAGGTTGTTGTCTGAGTGGAGGATTATCTAATGGGATTTCTGTAAGCAGAGAAGAAGATAAGGCAATTCGAGGAGGAAATCCAATATGAGTAGTATCTTCATTATATAGAGCTAGATGAGGAGAATTAGAGTGAGGGTTTTCTAGGTTTTTAGTTCCAAGAGTATATATAGATTATACAAGAGGGATAATAAAGTTATGGTTCTCTTGATTAACAGGAATAGGAGAGAAGTTTCCAAAGATATAAGTACAGTAGTAGTTGAAGGATTTCGAGAGGATGATGCAATAGCAGGGTTTTTAATATATAGGTTAAGTGCAGTTGCTTCAAAATTAGTAGATAAAATTGGTTAGAGAGTAAAGATTGAGTATAACTCAAGGAGAACAGCAATAACCGCTTTAGGATCTAAATATGGATTACTGTATCGGTAGCTAAAAACAATATCTCTAGTAGCTGCTCTAGCAATATTATATCCTCCAGCAGTAATTAGTTTAAAATCTGCATCAACAGTTTGTTGAATATATTTAATAGTTTTATACTAGTCTCAATATATAGGCCAAAATTAACAATATTGATAATGATAAGTTGCAACAAGATAACATACTTTACAAAACAAATCTGGATATGAAGTTTGTATAACTGATACTGCAAGAGATGAAGGATGCTGAGTTTCATGGGCTTCAATTTGTTGCAAATAAATTTGGTATACTTGGTGTATAAAGAGAGAGAGAAAAAAAAATAAAAAAAATAAATTCAAACCAATTTGGAATTACTTATCTACACTTTGGCTCATAGATAATTCACACTTAACACTCTTGGTTAAGGTTTACAGTAAGCTGTGAGCTATGGGTCTTTACAACTACATGTTTGGCTCATAGAGTACCTGTCCGATGGGATCTAATCTTGGGGTTGTAGTAAGCTGCAAGCTCTGGTTGCTACGAAAGTAGAGGCTTCAAGTAGCCCTTCTATTAAATCTCTTTTAATTTAACAGGACTTCCAAGTGTACTATTACTCCTTTTAATAATAGACATTTGTAAATAAAGAATCTGTAGAGAGGAAGGAGAAAGGAGAAATATTTTGGTATCTGGTAGAGACTTTTTAGCTTTCCACCAAAATGTTACAAGTGAACTATAGTCTTCTTTAAAATATAGTACTTGCAACACAGCATATGACGACAGGGATCTATATAGGGTCAGAATAGATATAAAGTGGTGTGGAAGTGGAATATTACTTTACTAGAGCGATTCGGTATAGTTTATACAAGAGTAAGATATATGTTTATTAAAATATATTTATTTATAGTACAATATCAAGATATAAGGCTATCCTAAAGTATCTATGCCTAAAGAATCCTAATAACTTAAAGATTGTAGGAAACAAATTCTAGAGTGCAAGAGAGAGTAAAAGCTAGAGTTTATATGGCTTTTACAACTAATATAAATTATATAGTAACAACAATACAGTAGTAGAAAAGGTATAAAAAGTACTAAACATATAAAAAGTATAAAAGGTACAAAAGGTATAAAAGGTACAAAAGGTACATTCCATCTATCATTTATCTCTGTTTCTTAATTGCTGGCTATCTGATAGTCCGTTTAACATGTATTGTAGCTCGTTACAATCATTATGATCTTTTGGATCTTTTGGGAACATAATCTTTAATATGTTCTTAAGCATTTACACGTTCTATAACAGTATTATTGATGTATTAATTTATGTTATTAATAATAAAGAGAACCCTATAGCCTATAATTATATATTAATTTATTAATTACTATTTGTTTACTATTGAGATTCAAAATCTATCAAACTTTTTCACTAGTTGTAACAACAGACATTTGTCTAATTGGCTAATATAAATTAATTACCCAGGTAATAGTTTAAAAATCACTATAAAAGCCTTTTCTAACTTCAAAAAAATATCTATATTCATTGTACAAAAATAATCAAAAATAATCAGCAATTCCAAAAACATAAAGACAAATATTTTTACTATTATTAATACTAGTCAAATTACTATATATAAGCTCTAAATACTAGAAACAATTAATAAAAAAAAGAAGTTTGAGATATTACATATAAGATCTAAATATAAAGGACTTTGTTTATACTATTTAATATGCTATTATAATAAAAAGCTTATATTAATGCTTTTATTTAATACATTCTAAATATTGTAGAATTAAAATATTAGTATAGTGCAAAATATCTAGTCACATTAAAAAATAATTGCTTGCAATAAAAGTTTAATAACTTTTTAAAAAATAAGCAATTAAAAAAAAATTTCTATAACAATATTATTTAAGACCCAAAGAATATCAGTATAAAGAGTTTTTTCAAAAATGTTGTTTTATTAAAAAGTTATTTTAGTTTAAAATTTCTTTAATTTATTAATATTTTAAAAAATTTAGCACTTTATTTTATTAGTAAATATAAAAAATTCAGCACTTATATTATAAAATACTTTTTAATAGATTAATTAATATACAAATTTTTTTATCAAACTTTAATTTCTCTTTTTTTTTTTTTTTATTTTTATTCAATCTCTCTTAAAAATTTTAGCACTATTAAACATTATATAATTTTTAAAAATTCCTAATTATTAAAATTTCAACACTACTATATATATTTATATATACATTTTGAAATTCAGCGCTTTGATGTGACTAGATGTCCCGCACCATATACTGTTTGATAAATACCATGGCATATAACTTGATTGCATTACATGATACCTTTAATTACACAATTGTATGTACATATTTTTTTTTGGTTTGCAGCAAAATTAAATGCTCAGAAGTAAATTGCTAGATTAACATTCCTGAGATCTTTATATAAGTATGTTTATTCTTTATATTTTTTTCTGTTTTACTTCTTTTCAGGTGTACTTCTTCAATAATCTATTTTTTAATATTGATTCTTAATAATTCTTGAATATTTTCTGTTAGATCATGTTATAGTAAATTGTTATTGTGTTTTGTTTTGCTTTTTTTTTTTTTATACTTATTCTTTGTGCCGATTTTTAAATGAGTAATATTTTCAAATTGGTAAAATTATAGTAAACAATTAAGTAACAATTGACTTGGCTAGTTTATAAATAAATCAAATTTATAGTTAACATAGTTTTTTTTGTCTAGCTATTTTTATTAACTCTATTATTTTTTATTTTTGTTGCTTATTATTTTATTTTTAGTTTTTTTTTCATTCTCAAAACTTTCTTTAAAATTATCTAGTTTAACTTTATTTACTGTTTTAGAAATTTATATAAACTTAAAAATATACAGGTTATTATCCTTAATACCAAAATTTAGAGTTTTGTAAATGTAGTATATATGTTAATGTCACTTTCAAATTTCCGTAGCTTCGAAATTGTAAATTAAAGTACTACATATTTTAATCGATATCGGTATGAATTTATCGATTTAAAAAAAAAAAATAAAATCCACATGTTGAAGTTTAAACAACACTAAGCGCTATATCACTTTTGCATGTACCTCGGCGAATGCAACAACAACAAAAAGTACAAAGAGTATTATTTTTACGACAAGACAATTCCTACATTCACAATTTGTTTTATTACAATGATAGTCATAATTTTTCTTTAAACCTTGTTCAGTTTCTTGGTTGGATGGTTCATTTGTAATATTTAGTGGTCAGGTTAAGTTTTGTTGAACACCAGCATTTCGTAAAGAAATAAATTTGCCCATTGAAATTACATCAAGTTCAGGATTACCTAAGGGGTTGATTGCTGAAAACCATGTATCCAAAATTCCAAACTTGATATGAACAATGCTCGTCTATCCATTTTTTGCCTATCAATATCAGGAATCGAATCACCAGGTTTCAAATTAAACACACGTTTTTTAGTTATACATTAAGTTTATAAATCACTTGTTGGTTCTGAATAATATGTAGATTTCCTACCACGATTAATTAATTTAAAGGTATTAAGGACCCAATATTTAAAGTTCGAATTTTTGTGTTTACTTGCTGGGTTTCGTAAAATAGCCAGACAACGATCATACTTTGGACGATTCATTATATATCTTTCGTTTTTCTATCGATTTTTTGAAAGCTTTGAAATGAAAGAAACGAAAAAAACTAGCAAAGAATTGAAGCCATACTATGGAAGATAAAATAATAAAGAATGTTTTTTTTATAATCAATCTAATTTACTAAACGCTTGTATTAATGTATTTAATTGACGTAAGTATGTTACATTTTAATCGGCAAAAATTTTAAACTCAGGTACGTTAATTTGAATTAACACATATTGAATGGATTAATAATACAAAATTTAAATTCATATACTCTATAGATTGCGTATCGGGATCAAAATACTTGACAAAAATCATCATACGGTTATTATATGAATTATTTTCTATCATTGGAAACCATAGCTGAATATTAAATAAACAACAATTGAGTAAATAACATGTTTAATAAGATATAATATATATAATAAATTTTTTAAATACTAAGTACTACTTTGCCGTCAATGGGACTATCTGTCACTTCCATATTCAATCTCAAATTATTTTGTTTTACAGAAATCTTCTTGTGAACTTTTTCCATTGCTATTTATTACAAAAAATAAAGTTTATTATGAAATCTGAAATGACGAAAAAAAAAAGAATCATAGTTTAAATAAGACTTACTCATTGGAAGAAAATTGGCTGTTAATGGGGTATCTAGTCTAACAGTATAATTTTCACGAATTATAAAAACCCAGAATCTTATTTGCTCAGCTAGAATCCCAAATTTTTGAGCGACCATAGACTTGAAAGCCCCATATGTTTCGTTTTTCAAGACCTTAAAATGTGGAATTTCAGATAGTGGATATTTTGGATTGTCAAAATTTGCGAGATCAAACCCTTGATGACGTTCAAAGACATCTGGAGTTATAATCTAATGCAATAATGATGGAAATTGAGAATAAGTTTAAAAATATTATAATCAATATAAATTTATTATTAATTTCATCATATAATTACCTTAATAGACAAAAAAAATTGACGTTCTTCCATGCGATAAGTAACACCACAAATCCTTAATGCAAATTCATCATCCGGTCCAATTTCTAATGATTTGTTTAAATTCGTAGATGGTTCATGATATTTTTTCATCTTTAAATATATAAATCCATGATTATTCAATGTAAACGCATTATTTGGTTCAATATCCATTAAATCTACAATTTCACCACCACTTTGTCTTAATTCTGATGTATTTTCTGTAGGGAGATGATATCGTAGGTAAATTAATGCGAGGAGGTAAAATATGTGAAGTAATAATCTTATTTGGAGCCATAAATTTTAACATAATATCTTCCCACAAATAAGGATCAAGGATTTTTCTATAAGGTCGAACTTTTTCAAAGATATCTTCACCAGATATTTGAAAATAACGAATTAAAGGAAGACAATTTTGAAGAGAGATTTTTAAAATTAAAAAGTGTTCATCAAACCATTAATCGAGGTTGGGAGGTAGAGAAGGATTTTGAGCAATTCCCCACTTAATAATGTAATCCCAAATTTTCCCTTCATCAATTTGTAAATTATCGAGCTTTAAGATAGAAATTAAGATATATTCTGAAAGATTAAGAAAGTCATCAGAATCAAAAATAATGTTTGGATTTTTGTCAATTATATTTGCGTAAAATTGTTGTAAGCTTTTCAAATGATTATTCTTCTTAAGACTAGCTTGATAAACATGAGAAAAGTTGTGGCGCAACCAAGAAGTTTCATTCTCAATTAGAAATAATTGTATATGCTTAATCAATTCCTCAAGACCAAATTCACACGATGCGATTAAAAGTTCAAAGATAATTGAGGTATTGATCATTTCTAAAGAAATTATGCCATTATAAATATACCTATAATTTTGTATATAAAATATTTATTAATTTTGAAAGTTATTTTTTGTAAATATTACGTTTATTAATACATACTTAATGAAAATATTGAATACTTCAATGGAAACATCAGCCTGCTTTATTATTTTCACATTATTGTCATCATAAGTGATTGCAGATAATTTGTTTTTAAAATATAAACAACGAGAACTTAGAATGTTTGAGTGTACTTTAAATGCATGAATATTTGGCTCATGACCAACTTCAATAACGACATTGTATTCTTCACTATTTTCAAGAAGTTCATTTAAATTGCTAGAAAGTTGCTCGAAAAGTTTGGCTGTCATGATTATGCGTGGAAAGTATGAGAATGTGAGAATGATAACAAACCGAAAATCAATTTTTATAATCTTATGAACCAATCAAGTTTCAAGATCATGAATAACAAAAACAACTATTCTAATGTGGAAAACAAAGCTTTAAAACAATTATAGAGTGCATAATTCAAAATTATATACAAAATTTTGTAAAGAAATTTTTTTGTTAAAACATAAAAATTTTTGGCATTAAGAAATTAAATTTTCATTATATGGCCCACATCACATGATTATGAATTACCAAAATTACGTCATCCCAAAGTTTCAAAGATTCATCAAAAATTATAAAAATTATGGATTAGATCCATAATTTTAAACGTCCCTGTCTTTGGGTGATTATAAATTTTGTTTGTGAGTCCCATGATTACAATCAGGTCACGGAATTTATGTAAGAATTTATAAATTATATATAAAATATTCGGTTTATTAATGATTAAAAATAAAAGTACGATTTATTGCGTTTTGTAAAAACAATATTTTATAAAAATTTTAAAGGGAATCTAAGTACATTATATTGAATAACATAAAATAAAATAAATAAAATTAAAAATAAAATAGTAAAAATAAAAATAAAATAATAAAAATAAAAACTAGCGAATGTTTATATTTTAACATCCATTTTTTTTACATTTTAACATACTATTTAAAACGTTGTTTAGTTTACTTGGCATCTTATCATACCATATACTAAAAATAAATAGCATTTATTTCACACCCTAACATGCCACTAAAATATTTTTAAGCGGCAAACTGCAGTAGAAAAAAATTTAATAGGAAAAATCAGATAGCTTCGAAGAGAAAAATAACAATAACTCGTGATCTCCTAAACCAATTATAACCGAAATAAGTTGCTTTACAATATTTGTTAGAAACTTAATAGACATTTAATTGATACAAAATCTTTTAACGTAAACTGGCTGTATTCTATCATTATAAAAAATACTATATCAACTTTCAACACTTACTATTTTTTATGCTCTTTAACCGCGAATAGTGTCCAAAAAAATTACATGTTATAAACAAATAAGTAGTTTACTGATTGCAAAGCAGAAAATGGTTTTTTGTAAATGACAAAATGCCAATTTTATCCATGATAAAAGATAATTTTTTAACATAAGCAGAGTTACATGAAGTCAGACAGGATTATAATTTAAAATTTTTTGATCAAAATCTAAAAGATATCGCTCTTTACAAAATAATGCGACAAATAATGAGGTTAAATCCTATATAAAATCTACATATTACCATTAGAGACCACAGACAGATGCGATTACATAATAGACGCATAAAATGCGACCAATTTTTACTATATTTAGGTGATTTATGCTGCATTATGCGACGAATTTTAAGTGAATCACAATAGTGATTTGTGATCACACGATCGTCTTTGTTGTAATTGTTATGTAATTGTTATGATATCACTGATATCAAATTATTGAATAAAATTTTGAACATTAGTAATTATTAAAATATCAATATTTAAGTATTTAGAACGTTTAATAATTTTTTTTCTTTAATTTTTAACGATGGGAAAAACCAAATTTACCGCCTTAGAACGTATAAACTCAAACGACTATAAAGAAGATTTTTATGAATCAAATAATAAAATGTTTTGTATCGCTTGCAAAACAGTTGCTAATCATGCCAGAAAATCCATAATCAACAATCACCTTAATTCAGCATCACATAAAAATAAAAAAAGTGTTATAGAAGCGTCTTCAAGTAATATAATAAAACAAGATATTAATATAGCATTGGCCAAAGCATTCGCCGAAGCTGATATCCCATTAGAAAAAATTAATAAATTGCAATCATTTTTTAAAGAATATTGCACTGAAGGTAAATTAAATTAAATTAATATAGTATAACACGTATATTATCAAATATTATACTGTAGGTGATAAGATCGTCAGCGCAAATCAAATGCGCAAACATTATCTTCCTCAAATTTTCCAAAGTGAAGTAGACAAATTAAAAAATAGTTTAATTAGTCAACTTATTTCAATCACGATTGATGAGATGACTGATGCTTGCGGACGTAGTGTTGTTAATGTTTTATTTAGCTTTCACAATCAAACTAAATTGGTTAAAACCGAATATCTAGATAGTGTTAATCTCTACAATTTCACAACCAATATTATCAGCCTTAAATTTTTATGAAATTCCTTTTTCTAATGTTATTTTATTTATTAGTGATAATGCCGCACATATGAAAAAGGTCTATTCAGATGTATTAGTTCACTTAATGCCCAACTTAAACACAATTGTTGTTTTGCTCATATTTTAAGTTTAATTGGGGATTGCTGGATATCTTTCGACAACTTTAAGCTTCTCACATGTATAACTTCCAACATCAAAGATGCTTTTTCTCATTTCCCCGCTCATAAAAGAAGATGGCTAAAATTCCTTTCTTCAAACCTTGCTTCGTCGAATTCATTAGATTCATCTTCAGAATCTTTTGAACTTAATTTACAATTGCCTCCATTGTTCATAAAAACTTGCTGGAATAGCTGGTTTAATTTCGTTATTTGGATTAAACCATACTTCTTATACCTTGTTCGATTTTTTTATATAGAAAATTTGCTTAACGATTCTCCAAAAGCGGTTAAGAATTAGCCAAAATTTTTTCAAATAATGAAAATATTCCAATAATCAAATTAATTATTGAATTTATTTTCTTAAATGCTCAACGGTAAGAATAGTATATATACAGTAATAATATTATTGCTATATACATATTTTTAAATACTAATAAGCTATTAATATTAATTAGCTTAATTCAGGATCTGGAATTCTTTAAGATCCGTAATAAACCTGTTGCCCCATGTTTTTTCATGAATTAGTCAAACCCATGCCATGTTACAAGTAGGTATTGAAAATCTACCATTTAATACATTTATGTACACTCCCCTGACAAAAGTCACCGGCTGTCGATCATTTTTAGTAATGATCAGCAAGCGAAAGAATTCGTTGAAAATCCGTTTGTTCGTAATTGTTAGAAGATAGATTGTTAATACCTATATGGTTAGATAGTATAAGACCTGTAGTTTTCAAAAAAATAAAGAAAATTTGATATCGTGTTA